ACATATACTAGGTTGAATTGCTCTCTCTAAGGACCAACCAAAAAAAAAAAAAAAAAAGTCTGGTTTTGTAGATGAATTCCCCTTCTGCAGTATCTCTCTGTAATTAGGTGGTAAAATTCCTTTGTAGAAGAATGGCTACTTTTTAAATTAGAAATATAACTAGAAATGTAATTTACGGTGTTGCTAGTCCTGCATGCTACTTTCCAGTACAGTCTGTAGTGCTTCGGTTAGAGCAGGCATGTCAAACCGGCGTTTGGAGGGCTGCATGTGGCCCGATCGAAATTTTTTGCGGCCTACCAGAACATTTTTATAAAAGAATGAAGTGCAGCCTGCTGGATGCTCGGAGCACATGGTCAAGTGCCTGCTCACAGCTGGCCAGGCTGCTCTGCCCTGCAGCAACTGCTCATGGCCGGTCGGGCTGCTCTGTGCATGCGCTCATGACCGGCTGGGCGCTCCAGCAGGCGCTCACAGCCGGCCGCTGTGCTCATGCCACCCCAGCACCTCAAGTGGCAACGTCGACTCCGGGACCCAGGTATTAGGTTTGGGGGGGCTGGGAAAGCCTGGCTCTGAGGGAGAGGAAGGGGTTATTTTGTTTTGTTTTTTTATTTATTCCCAAATAAAATCACAAAGGCTATGTCTAAATTGGCAAGATTTTGCACAAATACTCTTTAAAGCAAGAGTTTTTGCGTTAGAGTATTTGCGCAAGAGAGCCTCTACACTGGCATGTGCTTTTGTGCAAAAGCATCCGTGCCAGTGTAGACGCTCTCTTGCGCAAGAAAGCTCCGATTGCCTGTCTACACTGGCCTCTTGCGCAAGAACACTTGTGCAAGAGGGCTTATTCCTGAGAGGGAGCGTCATAGTTCTTGCGCAAGAAGCATTGATTTCTTACATTAGAACGTCAGTGTTCTTGCCCAAGAACTCGCGGCCAGTGTAGACAGGCAGCAAGTTTTTGCGCAAGAGCACCTGCTTTTGCGCAAAATCTTGCCAATGTAGACACAGCCAAAAGGTATATACATTTTGTATCAATAAATATGTAGATTTTTTCAATTGCGTGAATAATGATATCTTTATGCAAAATCTGAAACTTACAAAGTATCTGAAATTTTCACAGAAGCCTGTTCTATTTGATTAACCATGGTCTATACTTGTTTTTATTTCAACAAAAGTTATGTATCATAGCCAAAATTTAAAAGCACCTTAAATTTATATTCAAATTAAAAATTATGTAAAATTAATTTTAAAATTATGTAATATGAGCAAATAATGTTACACATTAAATTATTGTAATATTATAAAATATACCTAAACATAATCTATAATAATAAACAACTATGAGTTTGCGACAAAGTAAATTTTCTTTGGTGGCCCTAGGGTTGCCAGGTGTCCGGTATTGGTGCCACCTAAAATGTTTTGTTTTTTTTTGTTCGACAAACCATCAGTTTTCATTTGTGTGGCCCTCAGTAGGCTTCGAGTTTGACATGCCTGGGTTAGAGATACATAGTCAATAACACTACTTTTGCCCTGCTCCACTTCACTTACCTTAATTACCTGCTTAATTTCAGGGGATGTACTCTCGTGCTTAAGGTGTGCTTTGGTGGCTCTGGACATTGCTGCTATATGTGACATCAACATACATGAAACTAACTTTTTTAAATATTAGCTTAAGTTGGCATTCCTGATGTGTTGTAAATTATTTCTTCCATGTGAGGGTTGGCGGAACAAAATGAATCCAACAAATAAATACTGTGGTGTAAATTGTTGATATTGGGCCATGTAGGTTTTAGGAAAGTCAAGCTAGCACACAAAAGTTCTCTCTCGTCCTAATTTGGACATCATTCCACTCACAAAAGTCCCAATGACTTTTGTGGAAGACTTGCCATGGTATTCAGTAACAGCATAGATGAAATGTAGTAAATAGATTTTTCCATATAAACACTATGAAGCCAGACTATTGTGGAGAATTGGCAACATCATTATTTGGAAAAAGGAGAAATTGTTCTAGTAAAACAAGTTTGCTGCAAATCAAGTTTGCTGCTAACACAAACACACACCTCCTTGCTTCTGCTTCCTCTAATGGCTTCTGAATGCAGTTTAATTGCAGAACTAATTGACTACTAAATAACTTACTACAAACTTTTTCACTGACTCCAAATGAATTGGTATCCTATAGTGTGCAATGGGTTGTACTTTCAAAAACTCATTGCAGATTTGGAAAAAACAGTATACTAGACCACTAAAATGGAATTTCTGAAGTGGTTTCACAGCCAAACTAATGTTTTAAAACATGACTTCGGAAGATCAAATTGGTCTCTCTCACATAACATTTGGTATTGATTATAGGAAATCCAAGCTGGTCCAAGCTGGAGAATTTGGATCTAGATTCAGTTCATCTTTAATTATGGCTGATACTGTCTAGCTGATCTGAATTGTTATCCCTATACCAGGGATGGGCAAAAGGGCTTCCAGGGCCTAGGGACGGGGTGTGTGTGGTGCTTAGAGTCAACCCTGGCAGTAGACTTTAAGCGCTGGGAGCTGGAAGGCAGGGAGCAAGAGATTTTGTGCTCTCCCCCTTTCCCCCCACACCCAGGCCAATCAGGGGCCTGCGCTCTGCTTGCAGGGAGGAGACTTTGTGTGCTCTCCTCACCCCCAAGCCCTGATTGGCCTGGGGGGTGGGAGGAGTGCGAGAAGTCTCTTCCTGCTCTGCAAGGTGTAGCCAGACAGACTCTCCCCACCCCCCCACTCCCATCTCATCTATCTTATTTGCCTCTCTGAGGTTCCTGAAGCATACAGGACAGAGAAGGAGCAATAAAATCAGCATAGTCTATGCTGGCTCATCTGATCCTGAGAAGCTGAAAACATAGATATGAGGAGAGAGTGATTAAGGCAATAAGCTGGCCTCGAGGCGGCAAGAACTGCCCAGGCTGGCACCCATGTTGATTCGAACACACACAATCCCTGGGAGAGGAATTTCCCACTGAGAAAAGAATCCCCAGTACTTCCAATTTAGTTATCTCTCTTACAAGTGTAAATTAAGTTCACAACTCCCTTGTAAGAACTGGTCTCACAAAAGACAGACCAGCACCATTTGGCATCATAGATAAGAAAGAGAAATACGTGACCCCACGGGTATAAAAATAGGTCCAGCAGCAGACTCACTTTTGATTGTCAATCTACCCTCTACCTGCTGGTCGGGTTAGGTGTTTGACCTCCCGAGGTTCTATGGGGACGCCCACCTCGTATTTTCGTCTTTCCTAGGAATTGAGGGACCGGCCCTGGCCTGACACGCTGGAGTGGAGAGGCACAGAAGGGGGTAAAAATTGTACCTGGATGTGGTCCTCTGTCTTAAGTGTACACAGACTTAGAGCTCTTTAAAGGTTAAGCTGTTACTTGGTACTATTATTTCTGTTTTTCCTATGTTTATCTTCTTTGTAACCATTTTTAAGATCTATATTTTGCTAGCAGTTAAGAAATAGAACAATAGCCATTGCAACCATATGATTTATAAGCTTCCTCAATAAACCTGTAACTGTTTAAGCTTTAACCTGACTCCTTCAGTTGCTGTAACAGAACCAGGCACAATTTAAAAGAACTTTAGCTGGTCTTAAGGGACAGATATAGGGAGAGCTTGGGTGTTTGGATTTGTGTCACTCCCAGGTGGCAGGTCTGTTGGGGCACTTCTCAGTCTCCCCCAGGCTGCCAGCTGTGAAGGAATCACAGATTCTAGCAGCTAAAATCTGATGTGTAATAAGCTCTTCCTGCAAACTTATTGGGGCGCTCGTTAACCTCTTCCAGGTTGCCCGCTGCAAGCGACCCCGGTCTCAGCAGTTGAAGTCTCGGGTGTATAGCACACACACACACCACTCACTGCCCTGACCATTGGCTGACACAAGGGGCTCGGCACTTAGTCAACTGCCAGCTGCTGCTCAGTTGGCGGGTGACTCTAAGCACAGCCCTCCTTTGCAGGGTGGGGCAGACTTCATGTGCTCCCCACCACCTCCAGGCCCTGATTGACATGCGGGCAGAAGATGGAGCGTGCAAAGTCGGGGCTTTTTTGGGGAAAACAGTATCTAGATTGGCCACGGACGCTTTTCTGCAAAAAGTGCTATTGCGGAAAAGCATCCTGCCAATCTAGACATGCTTTTCCTAAAATGCTTTTAACAGAAAACTTTTCCGTTAAAAGCATTTTCAGAAAATCATGCCAGTGTAGACGTAGCCGTAGTGTAGACATAGCCCTAGACACCCATCCCTGGTGCTCTTCTGGCTGAGGCAGGCAGCCTTCCAGTTGTTTATAATTGTGCCTTGGTTTGCAGGGCTGAACCCCAGAGGTCCTTTCCAGCTCTCCTTTCTCCAGGACAGGTACTGCAAAGATTGCTGTGTGCCAGGCAGAGCAAGGGAAA